TACATGAACTAACTTAAAGTGTTCAATTAGCCCCTTATTTAGGAGGTTCTGTACGGCCGTCGCCAATTGGGGCGGTTCTCGATGGAATTTTTTGATGATTTTTTTTTAGAATCTTCTTCATTAATTATAGTTTACCCATATCAAATTTCAGCAAAAAATTAAATCGGGAAGGCAGTCAAATGATTTTCCGAAATGTACTGCGCTGTTTAACTGCGCAGTTATCTTCAAAAAATCATTTGACTGCCTTCCCGGTTGAATTTTTAGCTAAAATTTGGTATGGGTAAACTAGAATTAATGAAGAAAATGCTCAAAAAAATTCATTAAAAAATTCCACCAGGAACCGCCCCAATTGGCGACGTCCGAGCAGAACCTCTTATATAAGGGGCTAATTGAACACTTTAAGTTAGTTCATGTACTTATTGGACCCTTTAGCCTTCCAAAAATAGTCAGTCCCTAACCTGTTACAACCTAGTATAGCAGATCATTTTTAAATGTGAACTATGTGTAAGCTTTAAATAATCCAAACTATAGTTGTCCTTTTTTTATTAATCCCAACTATCAACTCTCAATTTTTTGAAGATGTAAAAATACTTTTGAAAATTTCGAAACTAAATATTTTTAAGCATGAATTATTAATTACGAATACTTTACAAATGTACCGAAATTAGATAAAAAAAATTAGTCATTTTTTATTTATTTTCTCTAAAATTTCATTTTGTCCTTTTTCCAATTTGTTTGTCACAATTATGTCATCATGTCACAATTATTTCATTTTTTATCACTTAAAATTATAATATTAATACATTTTCATTAAATATAGTCAAAACCTCCAAAACATGTACCCAAATCACTAAAATTAAATGATAAACTATATAATATAATTTATAGAATATAATAGTATAAAATAAAGAAAATAGAAAGAAACTAGAAATACTAAAATAGTAAAATAGATCATTTAGGTTTTTAGAATTAAGATAGAATAAAACAAATAAATAAAATTTTAATCATTGTTTACTTTTTGAAACCAGTGTAATTTTGAATAAAGGAAAATCATACAAAATCATAAATTGGTAACACAACTGGGAAAAAACAAGAAAATATGAAAAACAATTAGTGTAAATAAATAAAAAATGCCTAAAAATATTTATTTAACTTTGGTAAATTTGCATAATTTTTGTAATTGTTTATACATGTTTAATAATATTTAGTTTGGAAATTTATAAAAATATTTTTACATCTTCAAAAAAGTGAGAGTTTGTAGTTGGGATTAATAAAAAAGGTCAACTATAGTTGGGATTATTTAAATTTTACACATATTTCACATTTAAAAATGACCTGCTACACCAGGTTGTAACAGGTTAGGGACCATTTTTGGAAAATGGTCTCTATAGTTGGGACCACCCAGAAATAATCGATAGTTGGTATTATTAATGGCGGTCCGGTAATAGTTGGGATTATTATTTTCAATTTTTCCTTTTTTATTAATAATGACTTGACTTCTTTGAGACAAATGCAAACTAAAATAATACTATATATAATCAAGGGAAAAGGGGCAAATAAGCCCTCGAACTATCCGAAAAAAGTGCAAATCACTCCTTTAATAGGAGGCTCTGTCCGGCCGTCTTCATTTGGGGTGGTTTCCTATGGAATTTTTTGATGAATTGTTTTTAGCATCTTCTTCATTAAGTTTGGTATACATATACCAAATTTCAGCTACCAATTCAACCGGGAAGACAGTCAAATAAATGTTTGAAGAAAACTGCGCAGTTAAACAACGCAGTATATTTCAGAAAATCATTTGACTGCATTCCCGGTTGAATTTTTAGCTGAAATTTGTTATGAGGAAACTAAATTTAATGAAAAAGATGCTCAAAAAAAATCATCAAAAAATTCCACAGGAAACCACCCCGAATGACAACGGCTGGATAGAACCTCCTATAAAGGGGTGATTTGCACTTTTTTTATTAGTTCGAGGGTTTATTTGCACCTTTTCCCTATAATCAATATTTCACGCATGTTTCATGCATTTCACTCATTAAAATACAATAATCAACATTTCACAAGTACAAGTTAAAATCACATAAAATTAAATATTACAATAATATTATAATAATTTATGCATCATTAATAAAGTACTACTTAAACTTAAAGCAATAAATTAAATAAATATTCTTAGTTTAGTTATCTGAATTTGAGAATTGTTCCCACAAATGATCAATTAAAGCATTGTTGAGCTCGATATGAGCGTTTTTGTCGTGAATTTGATTATGTCGGTTAAGAAATTGAGTAAACCGCGCCGCCTCATCACCTGCCACCTCAACATCTGGAACTGGTGTATCTCTCACATCTTCAACTGATGCATGTATATCACGTTCATTCTCTATTATCATATTATGCATAATAATACATGCACTCATTATGTCGTGTAAGACTTTTTTTCTCCCAAAAATGTGAAGGTCCTGCGATAATTGCAAATCGGGATTGCAATACTCCAAAGGCACGTTCAACATCTTTTCTACATGCTTCTTGTCTCATGGAAAAATATTTTTTCTTTCTACCTTGTGGTTGATGAATTGTTGAACAAGTGTTGACCACTTTGGATATATACCATCCGCTAAATAGTAACCGATATTGTACTCTTTTCCTTGAATAATATAATGAGCGGGAGGAGCAATACCTTGTGCTAAATCTGAAAAAAGATTGGACGCCTCTAAAACACTAATACCATTATTACTACGTGGCATTCCGAAATATGTGTGCCATATCCAAAGATCATAATCTGCCATAGCTTCAAGGATGATAGTTGGTGAGCCACTACGACCAGAATATTGTCCTGCCCAAGCCGTTGGACAATTTTTTCATTTCCCATGCATGCAATCAAAACTTCTCAACGTTCCTAGAAATCCACGTTGTTTTCCAATTTCAAGAAGTCTCGCTATGTCATTGCCACAAGGTCTTCTTAGACAGTGCTCTCCATATATTTGGACAATAGATCGACAAAACCTTTTCATACTTTCAATTGCTGTCGACTCGCCTATTTTAACGAACTCGTCTGTTGCATCTGCAGGCACACCATATGCCAACATACGAAATACAGCTGTTATTTTTTGTAAAGCTGATAATCCGAGTCTACCTGTTGCATTTCTCCGCTGGTGGAAATAGTTGTCATGATTTGTAACTGCACCAACTATTTGTAGGAACAAATCTCGCGACATATGTTATCGTCGACAAAATAATGCTTCTCCGTAACGTGGATTTGGAGAGAAATAGCCCATGAACAAATTATGATATCCCATTTAACGATCACGGTCTATCACCACATGACCATGAACTGATCCATCGTGCCTAATAGGCCTATTCAGCTCACCAATACAATGACTTATTGTCATGTTATTGTTTTTTAGTGCCACCATCATGATTTCTTCTTGTTCATCAAGTTGTGCTATAGTGTTCATCGCTAAAGCATCATCATCTGAAAAAGAAGACGCTGATACGTAAGAGGATGCTCCAATATTGAAGTTCATTTTTTTATGTGGTCATCCATCTTATGTGTTAATTTGTTCATATTAATAGTAGTATGCTTATCTCAAAAGATAATAATCTGATGGTTGTGGAGATAAGGAAATTCATCCAGCGTGTAATGTAATGATTCCCTATCAACTTGTGTCTGACATTGTAAGTGGTGTGGGACCAGTAATACGCGTATCTCAAAAGATAAGAATCGGATGGTTGTGAAGAAAAGGAAATTTATCTAAGTTATTGGCTTCAACAGCTATAATATCAATTATTGATATTTGATTGATTTCCTTATTTGGAAGATAGTGCCAACGGATAGAATGATTAATAATGAGTTCCAACGTTCGGAAAAGGATCTAAGTCAACGAAATAAAAGGATTTCCAACGTTATTTGGACGATTTCTAAGAAAGGAATAGTTAGAATTAAGATGAGAGTGACAGACTTCTAGGAAAGCAGCCTCAAAGAAGAAGTGGGCTGCTCAGTACAACGGATTGGGAGGTGGAGGATGAGCAGCAGGCTCAACATCAGGCTGTTGCTGAGCAGCGGGCTGAGCAGCAGGCTCAACAGCAGGCTGCTGTTGAGCAGCAGCTTACTATTGAGCCCGCTGCTCAGCAGCACCCTGCTGTTGAGCCCGCTGCTCAGCAGCACCCTGCTGTTGAGCCCGCTGCTCACATTTGGGGTGATTATTGGTGGAATTTTTTGATTCCTTTTTTTGAGCATCTTCTTCATTAAGTCTCGTTTACCCATACCAAATTTCAGCTAAAAATGCAATCGGGAAGGTAGTCAGATAAATGTTTCAAAAAATCATTTCACTGCCTTCTCAGTTGAATTTTTAGCTGAAATCTGGTATGGATAAACTAGATTTAATAAAGAAGATGCTCAAAAACATTCATCAAAAAATTCCACCGGGAACCGCCCCAAATGGAAACGGCCGGACAGAGCCTCCTATAAAAGGGGTGATTTACACTTTTTCGGTTAGTTTGAGGGCTTATTTGCACTTTTTCCTTTACGAAAACTAGTGAGCTGTTTTGAACGAGTTATTCATTCCCTATCAACTTGTGTCTGACATTGTAAGTAGTGTGCGACCAGTAGTACGCTTATCTCAAAAGATAATAATCCGATGGTTGTGAAGAAAAGGAAATACATCCAACGTGTAATGTAATGATTACCTCTCAACTTGTGTCTGACATTGTAAGTGGTGCGGGTCGAGTAATACGCTTATCTCAAAAGATAAGAATCCGATGATTGTGAAGAAAAGGAAATCCATCCAATGTGTAATGTAATGATTCCCGATCAACTTGTGTCTGATATTGTAAGTAATGTGTGACAAGTACGCTTATCTCAAAAGATAAGAATCCAATGGTTGTGAAGATAAGGAATCCATCTAATGGATAATCTAAGGATTCCTTATCAACCTCTCTACATTCTATAAATACTGATGCAATGAAGTATCGCACTTCATCAAAACCTCTATCTCACAATCTATATTTTATCTTTTTTGCTTTACTCTCAAAATGACTACAAGATCAACTAGTTACACCATAGCGGAAGACGCATTGTCGTGTCAAGTGTATTTAGACATAACTCAAGACTCAACCATCGGCAAATATCAAACTGCAAATGATTTTTGGTCACGAATTGAGGCTAAATACAATGAACACCGTGAACAAAATTACGAGCGCCGTAATATACGTTCATTTCATTCAAGAATGGATATAATAAGTACTCAGGCACAGAGGCTAAATGGGTGTGTCAAGCAAGTTGAGAATTTGAATCCAAGTGGTGCTTCTGAAAAAGATATTGTAAGTATAATATAATTTTAATTTTCAATAGTTTATTTACTTTTATGTAATACAAATTTTATTTTAATGATTTGCAGCTAGATCTTGCTAAAGTTTTATTTATGCAAGATACAAAATTTTCATAAGGTTTTAAGTTTGACCATGTCTCGGATATGATTAAGAATTTTGAAAAATTTAAAGATAATGGGGGTGTTTGGTTAATGCCAAACACCCCCAATGTGTTAACAGCAAGACATGTTGCTCCGCAAAAAGACAAGTTAATTATGACTCTTCCCAATCAGACTCCCATCCACCATCTTCAGTTTCATCATCACCTGGATTGTCATCTTTCTTCAATAAAGAAGTTGATACTCATTCCGGATCAGATTTTTCAAAATGACCAATAGGGGTCAAAAAAGCCAAATTGAAGAAGAAAAACGATGAAGACACTACTGTTTTGCTTAAATCAGTTAAGAGCGACAATGAGCAACTTATAGAGATGTTGAAGAAATCATCGTTAGATAGACATGAACAATTGCAACTCCAACGACAAAATATGGCATACAAAGAACAGAGGAGATGACATAATTGATATCGACCCCCCCCCCCCCCCCCCCCCCCCGCCCTCCTTTCCCGATACTGCTTATTTCTGGTTTGACAATTGGACGGGCAAAGGTATGCTTATTGACATAATTGATATCGACCCCCCTTCCCCGATACTACTGTTAGACAGACCTTTCAAAACAATCTCCTTATCACTACTTTGACTGGCAGGATTCCCAGGTACTACACTGATTTTATTAATAAACATGTCCCTATCTTTACTGATAATAAGGACTCCCTTGTCTGGAAACCTAATAGGAAATGTTCTTTTTCTTTTAAGAGTGCCTATGATGTAATCCGCCCTAAGATGAACAATATGCCAAATTCTAAGTTTATTTGGAACTCTAAAATCCCTCTCAAGATCTCTTTTCTCATCTGGAAAATGCTCAACAATTTACTTCCTTTTGAAAATAAACTCAATTCCTTCGGGATCCTTGGTCCCTTCAAATGTGTCCTCTGTAGTAACGATGACACTATGGATCACTTCTTCCTTCATTGTGCAACCGCAGTAAACGTTTGGATGCACTTTGAAGTCCTTTTTAATTTCCGTAAAAATCAAAATGGCGGCATCAAAGAGTACATTAATCATTGGTATTTTGACTTTAAAGGACCGATCAAAGATTTAAACTTTTTAGTTCCTAATTTCATTATTTGGCATCTTTGGAAAATTCTTAACACGTTGCTTTATGATGATAGAATTATCACTAGTACTGAGGCTATCGCTCTTATAAGGAAAGATCTCTACCTAACGTCAGTTGCCAGACCCCTCAAGACTACCTCCCCCTCACCATATAATATCCACCTCCATACTAAGAAAACCTCTAAATTTAACACTACCCACCTTTGTCATTGGATCAAGCCCAACTTTAATTATATTAAAGTAAATATTACGTCTCAGCCTGTCCAAATGAATTTTGTTAGGACTGGTTTAATTTTTTGGGATAATAATGACAACTATAAAGGGCATGCCGCACATACCTTGCATAACTTTGACCCTACGCGTGCTCTCCATAAAGCCAATATCCATTTTAGACCTCTTTTCGACACGTTAATCCAAACTAATTTTAATATTGAACTTGATAATCTACAGGTTTGTAATGCTATACGTGGAGAGAGTTTACATCATTGGACCCATTGGACACACATCTGCCATATTCGAAGACTCTACAACGGCCATCGCTTCACCTTTTCATATATTGACCCGGGTGTCAATAGAGCAGCAGACTACTTGCCTACAATAAGATCCAGATAAAAAGATCACAAAATCACTTTAATCATTTTGTAGACATTCTCAAATTTGATGCTATTAGCTACCCGTATGTAATCTAGCAATTTTCTTGGTAGGCTCGGTCTTATGCCCTCCTACTGTGTATCTTTCCTTATTAATAAATAGCTATGGTGTTCCCCGGCCCTTACCCCATCCTCGGATGGTTTGGATTGGGTTTAAAAAAAGGTGTTATTAATTGTAATTTTAATTATGTTTTTTTAAGTATCATTTGTATTCTTTTATTATGTTGTTTCGATTTGAAATAATGTGTATAATATTGTGTGATTATAATTTTATTATATACAAGTATATTTTTTTAATGATCGGTCAAATTTATCAAAATTGATAATTTAAATTTTATTATATTGTATCAAATTTATAATATTGTGTGATTTAAACTTTATTATATTGTATCAAATTTATAATTTAAATTTGTTGCTCTAAAAATGGGTCAAATTATAATAATTAAAACTTTGGGTGACTTTTGAAGTAAGAAAGAAAGAAAAAAGGAAGATGTCACAAGGATGGTGATGCGCCATATATGGCGTAAAGCAAAAGCCCCTCCCCCATTTTGGTGAAGGATTTGATGATTGTTGGAGATGACCTAATAATAAAAATGAAATCGGTAAAAAATAAGAAAAGAAAATTTTAAGAGATAGCGGGTGAGCTAATAGGAGAAAAGAAAAGTTTACTCTTCACAACAACAACAACAACATCCCAGCCTTAGTCCCAAAAGATATTGAGGTCGGCTAACATGAATCGATGCATGATATCACAACCAAAAGGAAAAGAAAGAATAAACATAAAAAAGATAAGCTATTATAAAAAGATAATATAAAAAGAGATGAATATACATAAAAATGATAAAATAAAAAGGCTACAAATAATGCTTATATATATAAGGATAAAAAACAAGGAAAAAAAAGATGAGGGAAAAAGATTATACGAGATCACTCCTTCACGCGAATACCCGCCCTCCACTTAGTTCTCTCCAAAGTCATGCCCTCATCCAACCCCAGAAGAAGCATATCACTTCGAATTCCCCTAACCCACGTCTGTTTGGGACTTCCTCTCCCTCTCTTCCCTGCCTCTTCTCCACACATCTCAACTCGTCTGACAGGTGCATCACTCGATCTTCTACGCACATGACCAAACCACCGTAGGCGCGACTCCCACATCTTGTCTTCAATAGGTGCTACTCCCACCCTTTGTCTGATTGTCTCATTCCTCACGCGGTCCTTCCTAGTATGCCCACACATCCAATGCAGCATGCGCATCTCTGCCACACTCATCTTTTGAATGTGACATTGTTTCACCGCCCAACACTCTACGTCATACAGTAATGCAGGCCTAATTGTTGTCCTATAAAATTTACCCTTCAGTCTAGTCGGCATACCTCGGTCGCATAAAAATCCTGACGCACTCTTCCACTTCATCCACCATGTTCTGATTCTATGGGATACATCTCCATCTAACTCACCGTCCTTCTGAATTATGGAGCCCAAGTAACGGAACATATCGCTGACTGGTATCTCCTTACCATCCAGACTAATTCTGCTATTACCACTGTTTCTACCTCCACCAAACTTGCACTCCATGTACTATGTCTTGCTCCGACTTAGTTTGAAACCCTTATTCTCCAATGTTTGTCGCCATACTTCCAACTTTGCTTTAAGACCTAATTACTTCTCATCAATCAATACAATATCGTCGGCAAACATCATGTACCACGGTATATCGTCTTGAATTGACTTTGTAAGTTCATCCATGACTATGGCAAATAAGAAAGGGCTCAAGGCCGGTCTTTGGTGCACTCCGATAGTAATAGGGAACTCTTCGGTCCTCCCTACACTAGTACGGACACTCGTAGTATGCCTTTCTCCATGATGATGCTGATATACTTGCGTGATATGCCTTTCCTAGTTAAGGCCCACCAAAGAACTTCTGGAGGTACCCTATCATATGCCTTTTCTAAGTCAATGAACACCAAATGCAGATCCTTATGAGTGTCTCTATACTTCTCCATAAGTTGCCGAAGAAGGTGAATGGCCTCAGTTGTTGAGCGACCAGGCATAAAACCGAATTGATTCTCTTAAATCTTCACAGTCCTTCGAAGTCTTTGCTCAATCACTCGCTCCCAACGTTTCATGGTGTGACTCATAAGCTTAATCCCTCGATAGTTGGCACATTCTTGTACATCACCTTTATTCTTAAATAAGGGGATAAGAGTACTCTTCCTCCAACTCGTTGGCATCTTGTTGTTTCTCCAAATCATGTTGAAGAAACATGATTTGGAGAAACAACAAGATGCCAACGAGTTGGAGGAAGGGTACTCTTATTTTGGATTCATGTCATATGATGTGACTAGGTGATACTGTTGGCCGTCACACGCCTACCACAGCACCCTCCTCCTTTATCCTGGCTTGAGACAGACATGATACCAAAAAATGATATCATGGCGGAGTTAAAAGTTTACTCTTAACAATAAGAAAAATTTAAATTGCACCAAGCTCTTACATAGCCTAATGAAGATCTGCTCTGGGATGTGGTGCATCTAATTCTTTTAAACCCATAGGTATTTAAATTAAAAGGGATTACTAAAGATGAAATGTGTTAAGAACACAAAATCTAATTTATCTAATATGGAGTATATTTCTTAATAGATCTCTGTTGATTTATGTCTCATTTCAATACTTGCAATTTACCATGCAATGAAATTAAAAATGATTATATCAAAGATAAACTAGATCAAAAAATACATGGGGTACGAGCAGGAACGTAGCCAAGAGCAAAAGTCGAGATGATGAGGTAAAACTTTTCAGATAAAGTTTTACACATATATTTTACACTAAAAATACAAACAATTTTCAAACTAGAGGTGAGTAGAGGCCGACCAGGCTCTCTCTACCTCTTCCCCTGGGTATGAGCAAGGTGGTGTGGCTCACTTGATTAGCCACTCACCGTCAAGAAAATAATTTTTATTGGGCTTTATTGTATGTTAATATTTTAGATTAGCCTTAATTGTAATTAACGGGCCAAGGGCTCATTTGTATGTATAAATATTGTGTCTTACTATTGAATAATATACAATTAATTACACTCCAATAATATTCTATGCCCTAGCCAAACATGGTATCAGAGCATCGGCTTTGAAGCCGTGCGCATCACCGATCGGGGAAGCTGTCTGCGAGCGGAACAACCCCAGCGAGGTTGACTCCGATGACCGCCATGGCCGACCCTACCTCACCTTATTATCTCGGGTCTGGTGATCAGACCGGGAATGTGATTACACATGTGATTTTTAAAGGAGACAATTACGTAGCTTGGTCTCAGGCAATTGCTCTCTCGTTGAATGCACGTCGCAAATTATATAAATGTGTGTTTGTGGATGGAACCGAAAGGAAACCGACCGAGGCTGCCAAGTTACTCGACTGGTACACTGTGAACTCCATGGTGGTGTCTTGGTTGTTGCGAAGCATGGAACCCAACGTGGCGGCGTCGATTCCCTTTCACGATGAAGCGTGTGCGTTGTGGATTTACTTGGAGAAGCGTTTTAGCGTTTCGAATGGGCCAATGTTACAGCAACTTCGTGCTTCTATAACGGGCTGTAAACAGTCCAAAAATATGTCCGTGGATGATTATTATACCATGCTCATGAGCCTCTATGACGAATTGAATAGACTTTAACCTTTGCACGCTTGCACGTGCGGTTTGTGTACGTGTAATGTTGCTGGAAAATTTGCCGCTGATCGTGAAGAAGAACGTCTTCATCAATTTTTAAATGGAATTGATGATGAAATTTTTGGAACGGTGCGATCAAACTTGCTGGCACATGCACCCTTACCCGACCTTGATCGTGCTCATCAAGCTTTTCTTCAAGAAGAAAACTCTCGAGCTGTTGCTCGTGCAAAACAGCCGGCTGCAGTAGACGTGCAAGCTTTTGCCCTCACAAAGGGGCGTCAAGAATGGGTTGATAAGAGCAAACTAGTGTGTACCCATTGCAAGCAAAAGGGTCACGAGGTTGGGGCGTGTTTCAAATTACATGGCTACCCGGATTGGTGGGAAGAGAGGAGGGGGGCACGTGCACATGACGTGTCTTTATCTACGGGCAGCGGAGGTGGACCGAGCACGAGCAATGGCAGTGGGCCGAGTAGTGGCAACGGGCTGTCTTCTGGCTATGCGAAACGCACTGAACGAGTTGAGCACGGAGCAGGTTCACACACTTTTGAATTTGATTAATGTTGATCCTAGTTCCTATGATCGCATGTCGGGTATGTACACTTCTATACCATCGACTATTGATACTGGGGCGTCACATCACGTCACGGGCGATTTATCTTATCTCATGCAATGTCATTGTATTAATGCATGCCCGGTTGGCTTGCCGGATAGAAGGACAGTGGCTATCGAAATGGAGGGGCGTGTACCCCTTAACAAAAATTTAGTGCTCGATAATGTTCTTTATGTGCCCAACCTGAATTGTCATTTTATATCTGTTTCACAACTGACGGATAAAACAGATTGCATTATTACTTTCACTAATTTATTTTTTGCTATACAGGACCTACACTCGAGAAACCTGATTGGAGCCGGTGAACGGAAAGATGGGCTATATTATTTCCGGGGTGTACCTGCACTACACGCTGTTCATGCATCAGGTCTGTCAGATTTTGAGTTGTGACATCGGTGTCTGGGGCATCCATCAGATCGAGTTTTAAATCTGTTGCCTCATATCTAGTAATTCTGCGAAAAAAATAAATAAAGCCTGCGAGGTGTGTCTGCAGGCCAAACAAGCTCGAGACTCTTTTCCTATCAGTAGTTATAAAGCTAGTCGTGTTTTGGAGTTAATACATTGTGATTTATGGGAGCCTTATAACACACCTTCTATTTGTGATGCTATCTATTTTCTTACTCTGGTTGATGATTTTTCACGAGTTGTGTGAGTGTACTTGTTGCGTGATAAAAAGGAAGTTCTTCGTTTCTTTATTTCTTTCATTACTATGGTGGAGAAGCAATTTGAGGTGTCTGTGAAAACAGTTCGTAGTGACAATGGGACCGAGTTTAAATGCATGCTTCCTTATTTTGAAACTCATGGAATTAATTTTCAGACATCATGTGTCGAGACACCTCAACAGAATGGTCGTGTTAAGCGTAAACTGT